AATGAAGGATCATCAACCAGAGACAGTGGTTGGAAGGTGTCAATAATAAAATCCATGATAACCTTGTCTGCTGTTTTTTGCGAAAAATTTAATTTAGATTGTCTGGATTTGCAACCAGAACCACTTTGGTTTTGCAGTAATATATTTTTTTGTGTAGAGAATTCGTTGAGGTGTTTGGTAATCTCATTTTTAAATTCACTGTGCTTTTTCTTTATAAAAGAAAAAAATAGTATGTATCAAAGTTGGATGAAAATAACTTCTCCTGAATCAAATTTCATTTTTAAAATTTTATATGGAAATTTAAAGTTAAAAAAAACAATGTACAGGCTGAATGTAAAACCTATATAAACAAAAAAATGATAAAGGGTTCAACACAAATTTTGATAAACATATTAGAGTGTATTATTTAATTTATATATAAGTTCTTAAATGCCAAAAAGCCTCATTATATTCATAATAGGAAAATACTTTATCAAAATCTTTGGCCCATATCATCTTGGGCAACTTTTAATAATGATAGACAATATTGTAAACTTAAATTTAAGATAACCTACCCCCTTTTAACCACTAATAAAACATACTTTAATATGTTTAAAAAAATTTGTTGAACCCTTAATCCATAGTTCTTAAATGCCAAAAAGGCTAATTGTATTCATATATAGGAAAATATTTTATCAAAATCTTTAGCCCATATCATCTTGGGCAACTTTTAATAATGATAGACAAAGACAATATTGTAAACTTAAAATTTAAAATATGAGTCAAATGATACAAAAAATACTTTCAATTCAAAATATATTATTAAAAAAAAGCCCTAAAAATGTTGTTAAGAGGATTATATAATCAAGCTCAAACTGAAACTATAATACTAATTGATTAGATTTAACATATTATAATAAAGAAATAATAGAATAGATATTTATTTTGCTTTTGGTGAAACATTGCTAAGTTCAATACAAATAACATTGTACTGGATGTTTTAATTATATTAAAGAAAGTCAAAATACATTATAAAGGCTTAATTATTAGTTATTACACTTCCATTATAAATACTCTTCTTTTGAAAATTAAACTAATATAATAGTAATATTAAAAAATAAATGCCTAATTATTATATACCAAGATTAACTCTTCATCAAATATATTATTAATTATACTGTATCTAATAATTCATTTTTTTATAAAGAATCTGTATCTAGATTCTATTTCTGTAGGACCTGCTCAACTCAGGAATGTAATAAATTAAATTTAAACTTGTTGACATTAAGATTATCAAATAAAAAAAATTTAAAAGAATTACTTGTAAATGTCTCTTTAAGTTCGAGGATGATATTTTGGAAGATGATATTATCTTCTTACGGAGACGGCATTTGGTGCTGATCATATTATAAGAGTTGCTTTCATCCATTTCACATAAAGTAAAATACTTACGTAATTTCAAAAATGGTAAAAGATTCTCATTCTCACTTATATCTGCTGTTACATCAATAGTAGAAGCAATAGAATCTTCTAAATCTATAATGGACATTTACATTTACCTATTTAAATAAATATTAATATATTAGTAGATAGCCCGTCAAAAATGAGGGAGAATGAGAATTTTATTCGTTTTTTTAAGAAAGATGTTATCTTTTATTTAAAAATCATATCCAATTTATATAATTTTTAAACCCCCCCCCCTCCCCATTTATGTCAAGTCCAAGCAATGTCATTGAGTCCAACCAGTGGCGTAGCTACGGGGGTGGTTTTCGGGTTTGGACCCCTCCCAGAGCTAAATCTTTTTTCTAGATTATACGTTCAAAAGACTTAAAAGTGACTATATATTAAATAAATGCCATTAGTATTTATATTTTTCTAGTTTTGATGTTTGTGGAAGGATATTATATTACTATTGAAATTATTCTGGATAGTATTATAATAAAGTCATTGAGAATAATCTACTAAATTATAATAACATATTATTGATGCATTTAAAAAATATATTTATTATATATTATAGAAGATATGGTTATGATTTGTAAGATTAACCCGGCCGAAGGCCGGGCGAAAGGGCCGAAGTCCCGTTAAAGGGGGTCTGGGGGGCAAAGCCCCCAGGCTTTTATATGTATGGACCCCCTCTAAGAAAAATTCCTAGCTACGCCACTGAGTCCAACCCATTAGGACTAAGAGTGGAAACTATTATTTGAGCCAAAATATATTTAAATGAGCTTGTACCCAATACCAAAATTCTTTGTAAATATATTACTGGTTATATAAGACTAACATTTAACATTAAAAAATTTCAAGCCAGGTCCAAGCTCATAATATTTGGAAAAAATTTCCACGCGTTCAAGACCTTATTTATAAAAAAATTTCTCAAGCCTAGCTCAACCCATAATAATTTTGAAAATTTTTTCCTAGCCCGGCCCATAATAATTTGTATAAGATATTCCCAAGTCAGGTGCAAGCAAATATTAATCTTGAGGAATATTTTTCAAGCCCAGTCCATCCCATATTAAGTTTCAAAACTATTTCCCAAACCCGGAGATAGTTAAATTTCTAAATAATTTTTCAACACATGAAGTCGGATTTACCAATTAGTGGGTTAACTCCTTTTATCAAAAAATTTGATAAGGGCTATCTATATCTTTTGTTAAGTACAAAAAAATGCTATTTATTTAAATTACAAAAATGCCATTCAATACTAATGAAACTTATATGCAATTTATTTATATATTTTTTAAGAAATTTGTTTTTCTTGCCATATAAATTTAGGTAATTTTTTTAAAAAATGATGAGGAATAATTATTACTCTGTGTGTCTGGTAAAATTAAAAGCAAATCCTTTCAGTCGTCTTCAGAAGGAAAAATTAATGTATAATATCATCCCATTTAGGGTTGTAGGTGAAAGTAAAGAATAATGACGGATTACCAAAGCAGTGTACAACACCCATTGCGTCCTGATAAAGCTGAGGCCCTGGGCTACTGGTAAAAGAAGAACGCAAAATGATATTTCTGCCAAAGTGTCCGTTTTGGTAACCCCCTCTAAAATAGAATCATGAACGACATTGTCAACTCAACCATAAAACGGTCGTAAGTATTGTTATAAAGGCCATGACAAAACTACAGCATATTTTCCCATTAATAATGTTAATGAAATTGGCCGCACTACACATTCACGTATGAACATCTCTCTAAATATTCATGAAAGTTCCTCAGGGAATCGGATAAAGTATTATTAATAATAACTCCTAATGAGGTATGATAGTGGAATTAAATGCTTTTATTTGTTAAAAATTAGGCAGAGGTGGCATAGGGATTGTGGTAGTGGTGATAGAAATATCATTTGGAGGCAACTGGGTGTATAAAATAAACATATAGATATAAAACATTAGATAAAAAACAAAATAAACCTCTAGAGGAGTTCACAGTGCCTTATTATCTTGGCCACCAGTAACTCTAGAACGGGTAAGGCGGTTGTTGAATCGTTATTTTTTTTCTTTGCTTATCTTTAATAAAAGATTCATCATATTTGGTAGCAATGTGAGGGATTAGGGTTAGCCTAGACAAATAAAGAAATCAGGCAAAAATATAAATATACTATTGTTGAAGTTAAACAAACATTAAAATAATGTAAAACCGGTAGAAGGGTCAATATTAGATGCATATTTCTAATAAGTTTGAGGGCTATCATAAAATAAAATTTTTGGGGGACTAATCAGTCTATTATGATATTCTAAAAGTTAAAAAATAACATGATAAATGTAATGATCCAAGCATCCAAGATCTTAATATTTAAAAAGATTTTCTCAAGCCCACCTTCCCTAATAATTTTGAAATCAAGCCCAGAGATATTAATTTTATAAATAATGAAGAGGAAATATCTGATTTACCAATTAGTAAACAGGTAAAATATATTACTTTATAAAAAGAATAACATAAGACTAACATTTAACATGGAAAAAATATCCAAGCATCCAAGACTAACATTTAATATTAAAAAATCCCAATAAAGGTTCAAGATAAAAGCATCCAAGATCTTAATATTTAAAAAGAATTTCTCTAACCCACCTTTCCTAATAATTTTGAAACCAAGCTAAGAGATATTAAATAAGACTAACATTTAACATTAAAAAATCCCAATATAGGTTCAAGCCTACAATATCTGGAAAAAATATCCAAGCATCCAAACTAACCTTTAACATTAAAAAATCCCAATATAGGTTCAAGCCTACAATATCTGGATAAAATATCCAAGCACCAAGATATTAAAATTTAAAAAGATTTTCTCAAGCCAACCTTCCCTAATAATTTTGAAATTCCCAATATAGGTTCAAGAAAAAAGCATCCAAGATCTTAATATTTAAAAAGAATTACTCTAACCCATTTTCCCTAATAATTTTGAAACCAAGCCCAAAATTTATAATTAAGGAAGAGGAAATCTCTAATTTACCAATTATTCAACAGGTAAAATATATTACTTTATAAAAATAATAACATAAGACTAACATTTAACATTAAAAAATCCCAATATAATTTTGAGAAAAATTATACTTGATAAATAAGAGAATATTCTATTTTGTAGGTCCTCGCTATCCCTAGTGCGTTTCTTTTTTTGACTGATCTGCCATCTTTTTCTTTTACTAATGACAGAATCACCACCTGTACAATCATTAACTGAGGTTAGGACATGGCTTGTTATCTAAAATAGAAACAAAAGAATAAATAAAAAAATAAATGCATTGAACTTGATGAGGAGTCAATATACCACCTGTACAATCATTAAATATGGGTAAGACAGGGTTTGTTATCTAAAATAAAAACAAAGAATAATATAAAGAATATAAATGCAATGAACATGATCTAAAATAAAAACAAATGAATAAATAAAAAATAGAGTCAATATTAGGTTAACCTCTCTAGAAATAGTGGGAATAATTATTAACTGAGGTTAGGACATGGCTTGTTATCTAAAATAGAAACAAAAGAATAAATAAAAAAAATAAATGCATTGAACTTGATGAGGAGTCAATATACCACCTGTACAATCATTAAATATGGGTAAGACAGGGCTTGTTATCTAAAATAAAAACAAAGAATAATATAAAGAATATAAATGCAATGAACATGATCTAAAATAAAAACAAAAGAATAAATAAAAAATAGAGTCAATATTAGGTTAACCTCTCTAGAAATAGTGGGAATACAATCATTAACTGAGGTTAGGACATGGCTTGTTATCTAAAATAGAAACAAAAGAATAAATAAAAAAATAAATGCATTGAACTTGATGAGGAGTCAATATACCACCTGTACAATCATTAAATATGGGTAAGACATGGCTTGTTATCTAAAATAAAAACAAAGAATATAAATGCAATGAACATGATCTAAAATAAAAACAAAAAGAATAAATAAAAAATAGAGTCAATATTAGGTTAACCTCTCTAGAAATAGTGGGAATACAATCATTAACTGAGGTTAGGACATGGCTCGTTATCTAAAATAGAAACAAAAGAATAAATAAAAAAAATAAATGCATTGAACTTGATGAGGAGTCAATATACCACCTGTACAATCATTAAATATGGGTAAGACATGGCTTGTTATCTAAAATAGAAACAAAAGAGTAAATAAAAAAAATAAATGCATTGAACTTGATGAGGAGTCAATATACCACCTGTACAATCATTAAATATGGGTAAGACAGGGAATGTTATCTAAAATAAAAACAAAGAATAATATAAAGAATATAAATGCAATGAACATGATCTAAAATAAAAACAAAAGAATAAATAAAAAATAGAGTCAATATTAGGTTAACCTCTCTAGAAATAGTGGGAATATCATCCATCATAAGCTAAAAATAGATATGAACATAAAAAATGAACAAATAAATTACTTCTTCTGATTTCAGGAATTCAAATAAAATGATAATCTCTAAAAATTGGTATCTGGCACTCCGATTTCAGTCAAGGAAAATGATAGTCTCATAAAAAATCAACAATAAATTACTTCTTCTGTTTCAGAATTTGGTATGAACATCTGTTTAAAAAAATATAACAAATAAAAAATAAATAAATAAATAAATACGTACCGATGACGTAGTGAGGACATCGGAAAATTATAATATTGATTATTATAAATTTATATTAAATAACTTGTAAGAGCTCTAAATCTCGTAAAATTTAGGAAATGAATAAATATATCTATAAAATAAATGGTGGAATGGAAGTTGATAAAATATGAAGATAGATATTTTTTTTAAAAATAATATTTAAATTTAATTTTCAAAATTTTTATTTTATTTATTGCTTTTTAAGTAAAAATAAATTTTTAAAAAGATCTGGATCGAATTTTAAACAAAATGATCTAGATCCTCAATTTAAGTCAGAATCATAAGTCTCGTAAAATTGACAAATTTGCGAGCGAATCCAGGATCGTCGATCTTTTGATTCGATCTTTTAACAACTCTGGGTTTAGGTTTGATAAAAAATATAAGTTTTTAGCGGTTTAACGGTTCGGTTCAGGTTCGGTTTGGATCCCTGATTTTTTAATCTATATTCTTTATCGCATTTTCTGTATTTGTTAATGGTAATCTTGATAAACAATCTGGCACTAAATTCTGTTTCCCCGGTCTATGTATTATTGTGTAATCATAATCTCCCATTGCTAAATTCCACTTTTGTAAACGCATTGATATTGAAGTATTCTCTTTGAGTGTTTTTGAAAATAAATATATTAGCGGTTTGTGATCTGTTATTATCGTAAATTTTGTCCCAATCAAATATTTTTGAAATTTTTTCACAGCATATATTATAGATAGAGCTTCTCTTTCAATGATCGTATAATTTGTTTCAGCTTTTGTTAATAGGCTCAAAAAAAATACAAAAAATAATTTAATTTTTATTTTATTTTATTACTACTTTTATCACTTTTTTATTTAACATTTTGTGCTCTATATATACAATTTAATTTTACACTTTTTACATTTTTTACTTATTGAAGTAATAAGTTTTTTAAAAGGTTATATAAAAAAAGAATTTCGACAAGTTCATCCTTATATTTTATAAAAAGTAAAAGAAAATTTACGAAAAGGTCATTTAATTTATTTTACAAAAAGTAAAAGAATGAATAATATAAAATTTTTATATTCAAAAAATTATCTAATTAACATATGCCATGTTAGAAATGAATTACTTAGTGACTAGGAAATAAGGACCCAGAGTAATATGATGAAAATAATTTAGATTTTATAAATTATTGTAATGAATTTTCTACGGATCTGTAGATTGAGCAGAATTAGTCGACATTTAGCCATTACCTAATTATAGTATTCATGTATTTATATGTGATAAGTTGGTTAATTGACATTCACTAAATGGCACTTTGATAATGTCTTGATTTTTTCTAATATATTCAGCTAGTTCACAACTCACGTTGTGTTTAAATATAGTCCACGAATCTTAAATGATTGAAATATTATTCTCATCATTATTTTTAGGCTTATTTGGTTATATAATTTATTGGGTATTTACTAATAAAAATATATTTGAATTAAAGGATAAAGGTATGAAATTTAAACCTAAATGTTAGGATGCTTTTATTTTTATGCTTTTGTTAAAAATATTAAAGGTGATGAAAACAAATTAGATGGTCATTCAGATAAAAAATTAAATGATAAATCTAAAAAGTTATCAAAGAAAATTTCTGTTACAAAAATTTTCAAAGAAGATAAAAGTGAAAAGGAGAATATCTTATTAAATCACCCATGGTTATGCACTACCTTAAAAGGACACACAAATGATTTATTGGATTTTACCATTAGTCCTAATGGTCAAACAATACTAACATGCTCAAAAGGTTTGTAAATTTATAAATCAATATTCAGATCCTATCTTACTAATTAATTTTTCACTGCAGAATAAATGTCAGAGACCTGCAGAGATACAATTTGCATGGCCTGTCCCAGATTTTTTTTTCCAAAAATTTTTTATGGCCCTGCCCATATTTTTTTTTAAAAAAAAATTTCATGCCTGGCCCAGATTTTTTCAAAATATATTATATTTATTTTTGATTTTTATAGCTAATAAGGGCGATTTCAAATGTTTGGTTTAAATATATGACTTGGCCCAGATTATTTTTAAAAAAATTTTCACCAGCCTTACAAGTCTCTCATAAATGTTATAATTTTTGATTAATGATTGTTTAATACACAACATATATATTCTGTAAATGAAATAGATGAGTATGATGCCTATTTGGCAGCTAATTTTCAATGTATAAACTCCATGAAATACCAAGGTTTATACTTTGCAATGCTAAGGACACCAAGCACTAGATACCTGCAAATTTGATTTTTTAAAATCTAAACCCAGTCTAATACTTTTTTAAGTCTGGCCAAAAATAATTAATTAACAAATATAAATTAGATATTTTTTTAAAGTATTAAAATCACTAATTTGTGCTTATCACAGATAAATTTTATTTTGATTAAATAAAAACATTATTTTCTATGTTATTTTTAACATTTTATTTATATTTTTCAAATCTGCCCTTGCCTAATTCTTAAAAAAATTTGCCTACTAAGCCTGACTTTTAGAAAGTTTGCATGGATCTAGCAAGAACATTAAAATTATGATAGTATACTATCAAAAAATTATATTTTATATATCACAAACCAGCCCAAAATTATATAAAATGAATGTTTTTAATTCTTATTTATTAATCCTTTTTTAAATTTATTTTTTATAAAGAAAAATTTGCCATCTGTTGTATATTTTATGAATCATAATGATCAAAAATTATATTTTAAATCATTTTGGTGTTTTTATTTATTTGGTTGTTCCCATTTATAAATCGAAATTTCTTTTTTTTTGGATTGCTAAATTTAATCATATATTGATACTTAATAATCTAAATTAAAATATTTTACAAATAGAAATCAAATAAAAGAGTGAATAAGATTTATTTGTCAAACTTGCATAGGAAATAACAAATGGAAGAATAATCACATAACTGCATAAATTTGTATTAATAATTTTAAAAATGTGTTTAACATTATGCCAACTATATATTATGATTAAATTATCATTTTTTTAAACGGTTATGAACTGTTATTTGTTAATTATTTTTTTGTAAAAAATAATTTAATCTTTTTATAACAGTCAGGTATGTGAACCCTTTGACAAAAAAACAGGGATTAAAAAAGGGTTCAAGGTTTGGAGAGTATAAAAAAATATTGACTAAGTAATGTGAATAAAATAACATAATTTACTAGCAAAACATTTAAAAATCATTTATCTGCAAAACATTTAAAAATCATTTATCTTACAATCATTTTTATTTTTTGTATTTTTTAATCCAAAAGCATCTCAATAAACAAAATTAAACATGTCAAAATATGACAAGCTTTATATTTATATTTACATAATTGCTTATATTTTAGTTGAATTAAATTTAAAAATTGAATATCTAGAAATATTGGGTTTTAGTATCCTTCCTTAATTTTATGTTTTGGTCTCAATATTACTTTTTAAAATTCATATAAAAACATATATTATATTATTATTAGCTTATTAAACTATCAATTATAATGAAATTTTACTTGCAAAAAAGTGAAAATTTTGAAAAATGCAAAGAAAATAGAAAATGATCCAACAAAAAAACTTATTTTTTATGAATTTTTTTTGATACCTTGAACCCTCAACTCTTAAAAAGAGATCTGGTTTGGGTTGTGGATCAGAAAAAACACAAGGGTTCACATCCCTAATTACAATTGAATTTTGGTTCCTTTTTATCCATTTATTATTATTATTTGGAAATTATGAATGAAATAAAATATTATATAATCGTAAGATGAGCAAATACAATAATAATATTGGATCAGATCAGTTTTTTTTAAAACTCGATAAATATTGACACCGATCTATTATGACACTGCCCTAGTGAAAAATGAGGACTTCAGTGGTATTGTTATAAATGTCTCTCTGGATTTCTGTACCTTAGAAAAATGTTAACTTATTTTGTTTTCCTAGTGCGTTAGTTTATATAAATTATTTTCAAACAACATATTTTCTCTACTTGTTATAAATCCCCCCGCCCCTAACTTTCCTTGAAAACCCCATTTTTCCCCTCGGTCCAATATTATTTTTTTCTGCATTGAATTTGAAACTATTTTTTAAAATAAAGTTTGGAAGAAAATCAAAATAGGACTGAAATCTTTATAAAAAAAATTTGCATTAGTTGGACAATTTTTTTCTTCTATTGGATCAGGCTGGTTCTCAGAAAATATGTCCAATTTCATGGCTGGCTCAAATTTCTTACTTTGCATACCGATCCAACCAACTATATTTACTCATTCAATATTTTCTTATATTGGTTCTTCTTAAAATTATCATAAGTGTTTATACATTAAAAATCTTCTGAAAAATCCGGGTATCATGCATCCCTAGAAAATAATTTAAAATTAAATAGCTATTCATTAATAATATATTTTATTTTTTTTAAATTGTAGATAGCTTTATTTTAATCTGGAATATAGAGAATATGTCTGAAGGATCATTAAGGTAAAACAATCGCATTTATTAATTATAATCTTGACTATTTAAACATATAGTCCATTAAGATTAAATTTGGAGCCAGATTATTGCGATATTATTAGATTTAGCCCTGATAACAAGTACACTAAAATATATGCAATTTAAAAAAAATAAATTTATAATATATTTTTCCAAAAATAAAATAACGACATGTTGCACTTTTTAGGATTAGGATTTTATATCTATAATTATACCCAATGACATAATAATACCTAGACTGACGATGCATTCATTAAAAGTAATACATCAATGAAAACAGCTGGGGACGCCATTTTGGTTACCCATATCATTATTAAAAATTTAAAGCGAGAGGCCAATTTATTCCTGTGTCTGACGCAACTTTATTAAAGAATTGCCTGATCATCGAGATAATAAGGAAGCAAGTTATCAATTTAATAGTAGTTTTTAACATGATAATAATTACTATATGGGTTACCAAAATGGCGGGTCCAGCTGATTTGCATTCAACAACGCTTTCAAATGCATTATTACGAATGCATCGTCAGTCTGGATAATATTATATGTCACTAATTATATCTCAAAATGAATATTTTTTTAGAGCATTTATTTCGCATTTAGCTGAGTCTAACATCCTCAGGGTATTCGCGATTTCCAAAAAGCAATCGCCGAAATCTTACAAGCATTTTGATTTGCCTAAGGTATCATTTTACATTTCCCTTTCCCTGAAATATTCTCATTTTCATGAGGTGATTGATTTCTTATATCATCATCGTGGTTACCTCCGTAATTTGACTATAAAGTGAATGATCACTTTGTTTGTATTGGAGCCTTGCAGGACCGGTGGTAACTTCATTAATAAATATAGGTGGGACCTCATATGTAGCGCTATCTATACCTTTTTTAAAAACATATTCTTCGCGATTTTTTATAATTACCCAGCCGCACTAATTATTGAAGAAATTATTAGAAAAGTAGTTGAAAGAATAATTAGAAAATAAAAATTTTATGTTTCCCCACAATTATCAAGTATTATTACCCCTAATAAAATCTTTTAACGAGATCAATTTTTCAAGTTATTAATACTAGATTCAATATTCGAACTAATTTAGCTTTTGATTTAAAACTAATTATTTTACATCAGTAAAAGGTTAAAAAAACACTATTTTTTTATAAGGTGCCTACGAATTTTTATCGAAATTGAAAGGGGTCGGCCAAAATCTCGATTTTTTTGCTCATTTGGATCCTAAAATAGAGAATTTTGGGAAAAAATGTTTTGAGTTTAAGATTTCGTCCCTATTTATCCTTTTTTTTAAAAATAATATGGGCCACAATTGGCTGGGCCGAGCTTAAATCTAAGAAAAAATTTCTACCGGGAGCCTAGTAAGCTCGTGCCAAAAAATTTCGATTTTGCAAGCCTCTACTTTGTGTACTTTTCATCGTAATAATAAGTTCTTTAAATTGGATCCCTACCCTTTATACCAGGGATGTGAACCCTCCTTCTAGAAAAATGAGTTTGGGTTCAATGAAAAATCTCTGAACCCTGTTTGGGTTCAGGGTTTGAAGACCAGAAAAATAATGACTTATAAAAATTTGTTAAAATAACAGAAACATCATTTTTTTTAAATTTATTAATTAGTATTGCCATAAAAATAATTTATATATTATATATAATATAATGCTACAATTCAATTTACTTTATAAATAAATAACCACCATTTTTATAAAATATATATTATTATATATTATCTTTTATTAAAAAAACTTTTTAAAATCTGCTTTGTTGGGTAAAATTTAAAAATTTTTGCCAAAAATGGCCAACACTTAAAATATAACAAAAATGATTCAACGGAAAAAATGATCAAAAAATATTTTTTTTAAATTAATATTTTTTTTTTGAATAAAAAAAAACAATTATTTTTATAAATGAAAAATTACAAGTTTATTTTTAACATATAATTTAAAATAAATTAAACGAAAGTTTAAAATAAAATTTTTTTTTTAAAAACTTGGACCCTTAACCCTAAATTTTAAAAAAGAGTTTTGGGTTCAGCGAAATATCGAGGGTTCAGGGTTTGGGTTCTCATTTCTTTATAAATATCGATAACTTTCGAAATTTATTATATTATGCGATATTTATTTTTTTAAAAACAGCTATATTCAAAAAAAATGATCGGATTTGAAGTAGCTAATTGTGGCGTCTATATTTTATCGTATTATCGGGATTGCACCATAATAATAACCAATGTTAAAGGTAATTTTTGCATATTTAAATATAAATAATTTTTTATTTCATTTATAAATAGACTCCCTTATAAGCGAGCCCAATTTTTTTCGATCTGGCCCGAAATCAAATTTTTTTCAATGATAGATCCGAATTTTTCTGAGATCTGGATTTATCCCAACCCAAATGAAAATGTTAAAATCAGGGTCCAGCTCAACCTACCGAGTTAGGCCGGTATTAATTTGATCAGATTGGATAGGTCCTTGAAGGGCCCTTTTATCAATCTAGAAAGTATAAAAGGGTTTGAACCCTAAGAATCGGGACAAATCTAATCTAAGAACGAACTGGAACTCATTTTGAAATTTGCAGGAACCGGTTTTAACCAGATCAGATCTTTTTTTTTCAAGTCTCAACTTAATATAATATTGGCCTTATTTCAAAATATATCCAAATTTCTAAACGCTTAAACCCTTCGCCCACGGGTGTGATGAGACTATTTAGATTGATTATTAATGAATGTTATTAATTGACTAAATATTTGTTAGTAGGAAAAAATATATATCCACGAAATGTGCAAATATATTTGAGGGGGGGGGGGTTAAGATTTAAGTATTTCCTAACAATTTCTAATTTGGATATAAAAATAAATTTTATATTTTCCTAGGTTTGGAGTTATATCGACTCAATACGGAACAACTCTCATTGAATGAATGTATTTTGTCGCCCTGCTCAAGACTATTTGCTACTCGTGGTTCAATATAAATATATTATTTATAACTATTATATGATAAAAACTAGGGCTGTGCCGATATTAAATATCTCGGCACCGATATTTTGCGTTTTCCAATAATATAAGATCGGACCGATACTTTTAAAAACCAATCAGATCTTTTTACTTTTCTTTTTTTTGTTATTTTATTTTATGTATATAAATTTACATTATTATAATATATATGTTAAACAAGTATGTAAGAATTATTAGGTAGAGAAATATGGGTTAGAGTCGATTAAATATTTTTCAGCTATATTGGTTAGGGTTAGCGCTGTGCCGAGACATTTGCCGGCTCAGGGTAAAAACTAATTTAGCTGCCCATTTGCATGTTATTTTATCTAACTTCACTTAAAGAAAAAATATTTTTTTAAATATATTTACATGCTTAATGCATTATTATATAATTTGTCAAATCACTATTAACTAAGTTTGGGGATGTCAAGAAATTCACAGTATGGGCACTAGAGATCGGCAAAAGTAAGCGTGGGCTGGGCCTATTTTAAAAAAAAACAATCGGGTTCGGACTGGGTCGGGCCTAATATTTTTTTAAAAAATTCGGGCCAAGTCTGGTCGTATCTTGGAAATTTTTCAATATATTTAAATTTATCAATTTCATGTTGAATTCTTATGTAAAATAAAAATATTTAATTTTATTTATGGAAACTAGACGCCATATAACATACATATATCGTTTATTTTGAGTAATTATAAAAATTAATTTCTATATTTAAATAAATTCATGCCGGGTCGGTAAAATTTTTCAAAAAAAATTTTGGTTTTGGGCCAGGCAAAACTATTTAAAAAAATTTCGGGCCGAACCGGGCTTGAAAAATTAGGCCCGATGCAGATCACTAATGGGTACTCAGCTACTGAAATACTTTCCGATTAAATCTAATTTTTAAAATGTATAAAAATCGTCTTGAATAAAGGATTTAAAATTAAAAAAATCCGAATCCCTAAGGATTATTCACATTTTCTAAATCTCGGGAATAGTTTTCAATCATTTTGTTACATTTGAATGGTAAACTCGAACAACGAACGGTTTTCATCCGATATTTGAAAAAAATATTCGGTCTAGACCAGATTAATTTTCCAAAAAGAGATCTGGTTCATAGGTTTTTAAATTACTGATCTTTGAGATCTTCACTAGTTATAACTTTTGATTAAAACTAATTATAAAATACTAATTTGTTTTTAAAAAATAGGCGCAACTAAAGGGATAAAGTTGTGGAAGCTGATAAATTATTCCATGGATCAAATTGACAAAATCGAAAATTTCGCTGATTTGTCCCGCGACCAAATGGTCAAATCTTTCGCTTTCAGTTTCGATTCTTCAAAGTATAGACATTAATTATTTTTTTTCATATTTAGAACTAAATCTTTTTTTCACTTATTACCCAGAGATTTTAGATATCTAGAAAATAAACTTTGACTCTGAATTTTGTACGCCCCGAATTCATGTTAACTCAGAATTCAGGGTGGCACGGGAAATATTTTTATTTAATATTTATTTAAAATTAAATATATTTATTAATATATTATTTTTTTTTAAAAAAAATTTTTTCAAGAATCGCTTTCGTAAATGGCGGGAATTCATGGAAGATTTGTGAATTGTTAGGTACATAAATAAAATTTTCAAACTTAATTAAAACTGCATCATAAAAAAAGAAGGTTTAATAATAGTTCTTTTTCCAAGCGTTCCAATTGAGCGTATAAATTAGGGGTGACTGATCATTCAATTTTAAATTTCAGATTTTTTTTTGAGCTATAATATAATGATCAAAATATTTTAATATGTTAAAACGAAACATTTTAAGTTGGTAAATAGTCTTTTTTTGTTGTTGAACAATAAAATAAGTTACAAAGGTAATTTTAAACCTCCATTTTGTAATACGTATCGCTAAATCATTTATATCTATTGAATGAAACGGTGAAGACTTATTTTTAAAAATGTTATCTGTTATGGTCTTTGCAATCGGTTTCCGGTCCGGATTAACATTAATTTAAATTTTTTGGAAATATCTAAATAAATTTAAAATAAATGCATCTAATTTTAATTATTTTTCTATCAAAAATAAAATCGACATAGTTTAAATGTTTTCTTAATATTAATGACTACCTCATCTTATTATCTTCCCTTGACCCCTTAATGCCATATTTACCCTTCCTCCTCCCTCCAACCTTAATTTTTTTATTGGAGACCTTTAATATCGTTGAGAAATCCTTTTTTTATTTAAAAAAAAATAGATATCACAACAGGCAAGATTAAGTCTGAACCGAATGTTATTATAGATAGTTTTTTAACTCTCAAAGGCTTAGACACCGACTCGCACACTAATAAACCTAAATCAAGAGATAAAAAAATAATTAAAAGTAACCCCAAATATGTTAGTCAAGCGAAAGGTAAAAGACAATTAGAATCGGAAAACGAGGAAGAGAATGAGGAGATCACTAATGGTAAAACAGTGTTGGTAGCTTTAGCCGAAGAATGCAATTGTTTGGCTCTTTTATCCCACGAGGAAAATGGCGGAAAGAATTTGAGCCTATACAATATATTGAACGTTATGGTTATAGACACCATTTTCGAAGGAGTTAAGGAAGGTAGTTTTTATAAACATAAATTTTAAAGTGCTAAAGAACGGACATTGATGATGTAACTTTTAATATAAACTTAGTTTAATGACAATTGCTATTTGTGGAGAAGAAAGGGTAGGTGTACGCGTCAATTGTCTTTAAGAGTTAATATCTTTTATTCAATTTTTTTTAGATACGATTATTCTTAAAATATATATATTCTATCATGTAATTTAGATGGCTTATTCAAAATGTGCTTTTACGATAACGACAAATACCTCTTGATAGGTCACAAAAGCGACAAGCGAATATACGTTTTTCACAATGTTTCGTCTTATAAACTTAAGATAGACAAATTATCTTTCAAAAAAAAATCTAACCCAAATGACATTACCGGCAATAAAAAGCTAGAGGAAGAAATATCGAAGATGGAGTCATTAATTAAACGATTATCGTCGGGGAAATAAACAAAATCTATTGATTGATCTTTGGAATTTATATTTTAAACGAAAGAAATCTATCTAGACGATATTCTGATAATGTGATTTGTATGGCCATTTATTTTAGAAAGTCTTTGAAATTGCAAGTCTTAAATATTTATATTATATCGTATGCAATTTTTAATTTTATTTTTTTAAAAAAATTGTTTAATTTATGACTAATCATTTGATTTGTAAGGATCATCATAATTCATAAATATAAACAAATATCAAAAAATTTTAAATGTAATCCTAAAATATTAGAAAATTTTTGAGACATTTGTCAATAACTTAAAAAATTTGTCTATTCCGAACTATAAAGACTGAATTACAATTTCAGTCTTTGTCGGCACAAGCGGGCATACAAATTTAAAAATATTTCGGGCCGGGTTTAGATCTATAAATATTTTTTAAATCAGGCGAAGCTTTAGCCTACAAATCTTTTTTAAATCGGGATGGGTTCAGGCTTGAAAAATAACATGAAATCTAATAATAAAATTAGAATTTATCTGTGATAAAGACAATGCAATTATTCTTTTTTTGCTTCGTTTATCTTAAAAAAAATGCATTACTGGGTTTAAATATATATTCATCGTTCTCCATCTATAAAGCAACGCTATCCCCTCCAAATCAAATAATCCACTGCAGGTTCTCACGCGGAGAATCACCCCTTCTATCAATCTTTGAGCCAATGGAACTTACTTAATTCCATTCCAGATGATATTACCATCATCTCCTAGCCAAAGGATCTGACAGATTACTCCCGAAAGATATATTTTTTTTATTCTACACTATAAAATTATTTCAAAGATAAACAAATAACGCCAGCCTAATAAATAATATCTTCAGGATAGACACTACAACTTAATAAACCTCTAAAAAGATACAAAAATGTAGTAGTAATCAACATTTATATTATATATTGTATGAACAAAATAAATTTTAACCATTTTTTTTTGGTGGGAATCGGAAAAAAATTCCGACTTTGACATACATTATCGATCCCAACTTATGTATTCTTTCAAAAATATTTCCCTCCTTATCCTATCATTAAATCTTTTATCTTATATGCTATTCCGTTTCCTTTTTAATATTATTCCCTTTATTCTTAAAATTATATATACTTTTTAAAAAAATCAATATATAACTAAAGAAATATTCCTCAGAGCATCTATACTAACATAGTTTTTGCTGATAGGAAAAAAAATAATGTAGTATATTTATTGAATAATTCATAAATATTTTCTTATTTTTTTTATTAATTTATCATTTTGTTATTTAATTTATAAAATTAAATTACTAGAAAAAGGAAACAAAGATTAACAGCACTCACTTTTTTATTGGGTTAGAAATTTTTATATGGATTTTTTTTATTGGCTTAATGAGGGAAATTTGGGCTAAGCCAGGATTTATTTTTAAAATATAATTATGTTTTAAGGATTTTGCAAGGAATAAGTCACCAATATTTATATTTGTTTTTAGCAGGGTTTCAAACCGAACCGCCAAACCGGAATGAACCGTTATAATTTTCTAAACCATAACCGTAACTAACCCGTTATAAAGAAAATATAAAAAGAGCCAACCGAATTGTTATAAATATTTTAAACCGGTTTTAAAAAATAATGGATTTTAAATTATTAACCTATTTTTAAAATTTAAATTTTCCCTGAAAGCAATTTTTAAATTCGTGATTTCTTATAATTAAATTTTTTTATATAATCTACATATCAATCAATACCAAGTTTATTGTTTTTACTTTAAATACTCAATTTAATAGAGAATAGGCAAATTACCAGTTAATTAGATAAGATATAATCTTAAAATCACTAAAACTATTCTTGGTTAAATTAACAAGTTTATTCTTATATTATTAATTAGCTTTTAATATTTAGGAAAAAATCATATAATTCTACCATTAATAACAAACATCTAATAAAAATCAAGTACTGATTTTTAACATTTGAATAAAAAGAGATTGCCAAAAAACATTTTTTAAAACTTGGAACTTGATAATAATCATATTGAAATTCTAGATACTATGCCTACGTGTTCATATTCGAAAGATAATTTAGATAATGATTTTGAAGATTTATCAAAGTCGGAATGCCTTAATAAGAATAATTCTCAGGGAGAAAATTATAATAAACATATAGAAATAGAATATATAATTCGGTCATTTGATAATATAGAGAGATTAGAAAAAGTTACTAATCTTTTGTATTATTTGGAAAATGTATTATAGGTTAGCTATAATTGTGCTAGCAGTTCCAGCTATGGAGGTATATAAAGAGCATTTTTTCTTGGCAGAGAACTAAATTAAATCCTGAATATTAGGAATATTTTAATTATTTGTTCTAGTTCTCTTTTTAAACATAAATAGTATAAATTTCATTATATTTATGCGTTATTTTATTCCTCATTATATTTGCGCATGTTTGTTTTATCTATCTTATTTATTTTTGAAATAAAAAAAATTAATTGTCTAATTTATATTTACTAATAATTAAAATATTTATTAGATTATCATGGTTAAATTAAATAAGAAAATAAAAATATTTTAAAAGATTTTTCTCTAAGATTAATATATATGGTTTATGATTAATTTTTTTTAAATCAAATTTATAAAAACTGGAACAAACCAAAAAGAACCGTTATAAATTATAAACCAAACCAATATGGATTTTTCAAAAAACCGGAATGGAACAAAACCTTTATAAAATTTTAAACTAAAAAACGAACCGAACTGCTATACTTAACGGTTCGAAACCCTGGTTTTTAGGATATTTATTTTTTTTATAAATAAATAAATTTTAATTTGTAGGAAACCAAACCAGGTGTTAACTTTTATATATCTTATTTTTGATAATTCCTGATCCATGGATTCTATGTGTAACTGGCTAGTCTATAAAATGTCATAGGCTATAATCTTTTAGATTTAAAACTACTGCTAATTTTTACAAAAGATATGTTCTTTAAGTATCACATGATTAGATCACTTTTATTACCAACAATTAATGAATGTAACATTTTATATGGCATATATAAACATTATTGCTATCAACATGCTGCTGGTGTTAATATGTTGAATGTATAAAAACAGGGTTCATTTTCAGTTAAAGTCAAGATTTTATCTTCTGAACCGCACTTAAAATTTAACTATATAATAAAATATGAATAATAAATTAAAATAGTAGAATGCTCACAATGCTATGTCTGCCTATAATTGTAATATTTTGAAACATTTTATTAATATTTGGACATGTGGATGAATCACCATCATAAATTAAAATCTGGTTAGGTTTTAACCAAATACTTTTTTTACCAATATTTAGGACACTCTTTTCCCCATCTGGTAATAATTTAATTTGTTTGCTTTCTTTAAATGGACAAATATGATATTCATATTGATAAAATTTGTATTTAATACACTTTTTTTTCAAATGATAATATTCATTTTTCACACCATATAGCTACAAATTAATAAATATATAAAAAATTTGTTTTGTGTTACATCTGGCGAAATATGATTTATTATTGCTTGCTTGATATATAACTGCTTTATTCTTCTGCCTCTCAATTTTTCATTTTCTTCAAATTTAAAATGGTTCAAAAGATTATCACATGTGTTTTTACATTGCTTGATTCCTTTCTATTGCAAAGTTATTAATTTAATAGCATATTTACAATCTTATCGCTCCACTCATCGGAGCCATCACAACAATCACATATTCCATCATCCACTTGAGTTGAATATACAAAATTTACATGAAAAATATTTTTGTCATTTAATAATGGCAACTGATAGTCACAAAAAAATCTTAAAAATAAATTGAAACTTTGTAATCTATTTAAAAAATACTTATTTCCCCTGCATGCAGATGTTGAAGGTTCATCAGATCCATCTTCACAATCACAATAGTCATCATTCAAATATTTCAAGGGTATATTTTTACCTGAACTAAAACATATAAAATTGTTATGTTTATCTTGAGATACACCCATATATTGGGCATAAAGATAAATATCTTGTGGGCTAATATTCAAAAAAAGTTTAATAAAATTCACATTTAACAACTTTATTCCTTTCAAGCCTTGGTGATTATAGTTTATAACATCTTTGCGATTATAGCTTTTTATATCAACCGTTAATTCTATATTATTTTTGATAATTTTTTGATATATAATAAATTGAATTATTCCAAATATCGTAATATAAATTAATATTTTGAGATAAGATAGTTTTCCAAAGAGCATGTCATTTCTATAAAACCCGTTTCCAAAAGGTGCTTAATCAGCTGGTTGATAAATGCAATATAATCTGGTAAATCCTTGATTCCTCTACTCCTAAAATATTTTCTCCAAACCTTAGTATTTTAATTTTTTAAACGATTTAATTATATATTTTATTTTCTTACAATATTGCCATACTGCATAACAATATTTAAATTTGCCTATTAATTTTATATTGTCTCGTTTTATCTATGGTAATTGATTATGTGATAACTACTAAATAAAAAAAATCAATACACGAGAATAAATAATATAATGCGCAACAAATAACTAATATATAATCAACTGGAGATCCTCTAAACATGTGCTCTTAAAAGTTTGTTCTCTGCATCCTTTATGGCCAATAAAAATTTTACATACAGGCTGATTATCCTATAACCTATCAGTAAATAACCCATAGTAAAAAATTATCTATAATTGCTTATAATCGAAGAATTTTTAATTTGTATCAAGACCTGATCTGAACAAGTAAGTGTAGTGATGTGGAAATTACATGTATGATTGCATTATAATACATATTAAGTTATTATTGATACAATGGATACTATTATATTATTTGTATATTGTGAATTAGTATATTTGTTGATTAGATATGTTTCGTAATGAATATATGTATGTATAATATCGAGTGGTATTTATTAATTGCCTAAGATTATTAGAATGTAGAAACTACTATTATATTCTTATATCGGATTTTTTGTTTTATTGATTGTATATTTGTAAATAAAGGTCTGAATGATTGCGTTATGAATTATCCTATTGATATATGAAATATCCCATTTATAAAGTAAGGTGGAGATGAAATATCTAAAAATATATGAGTAAATGCTTGATGTTAACTAGGACTATTTTCTAATTTACCTGAGTGTAGCGAGCAAAGGGAAGAGGCAGGGTACAAAATCACCTCTCCACTTTTAGCTCTCAAAGCCAAAAAATTAGGATAATTGAAATATTATTAAAAAGCTTTCACAAAATCACAATTTTCGTAAAAAAATATTACTCATCTTGATATAATATAACCATTTTTTAAAAATCACCATAATCGGAATTTTTTAAAAACACTACCAAATACTTATGTAATCATTTAAAAAGATATTAGCTAAATAACAAAGGATTTGCATGTATTTTCTTTGTAAATACCTTGTCGATTTATATTTAATATTTTTAAGAATATTTTTGTATATTAATCTACAATATTAAGAATGTTTTTGTGTAATTGATCTACTTTAAAAAAATTTTAAATATAATTTATATATTAAAAATTGGGCTTGACCGACTTTTTCTCATAAAGATTTCTTACAGATTTATATAAATTTTAAATGCTCAAAAAATTTACATTTTTGTTCAAATTTTTTTTCAGCACATATTTATTTTATAATGATTCATAATAATAAAAGCTTTATTTTAGCCGTTCCAGCCTATTTTAAACCTATGAAACCGAATTTTTAGCAGAAAAATATCATCATATTCCAGGGTTCTATAAACCTAATAATTTATAACTCCATTTTTTGGGCATAAAAGTACAAGAATTTATATTTATTAAATTTACAGAGTATTTAGTTATTAATAATTGTAAATTTTTTGTATTTATTTCCAATAATTTATTTTACATGCTCAAAAATAACTTGAAAATAAATTTTATGTATATAAATTACTCACCCCAGGCGCGTTCCTGGCTACTTACCTGAATTTAGCATTATACCCATGAAGCAAAATCTTAGCCAACAAGAAGTTTTTGCAATATACATATATATTATAATATCCTCACTAATCTACAATAAGTTTTTTTTATAATAAAAATGATTTAAATGCTTCATTTTTTAAATATAGACATTATTTGCATAATAAAATAATAGTGTTGTAAACGAACGCTTTCAAGATAAACGCGTTCATGAACGAAGTTCGTTTTTTTGAAAAAAACGATAAACGGCGTTCCTTTTATTTTTGACGAGCTTTGAACGTAAACGAGTTCCTTTTTTATGACGAACGCGTTTGAATTTAACGTTCGTTCAATTTTAAAAATATTTTTATTTTTATTTATTTGAAAAATTTAATATTTCCGAATTTTTTGAAAAAATGTATTATTTATATTTTTTAATCGGCTGTGTATTTCCTTTTCACATTTCAATCTTTTTAACACATAGTTTATTAATTTGAATATTATTGTTTATATTTTAATTTAATAGATTAGCATAAGCATGGATATTATTATTTAATCCTCATCATCTGATTCTTAAAATCCAAAATAAGATGAATTATCATTACTATGGCCAAATATGATAAATGTTTTACATTACATCCTATATTGAAGGAACTAATGAAATGCTTACCAAGTGTAAAATATGGTCAAAAATATTATATTGTCAAAATCTTCAGGTTCCAATTTAAAACGACATTTGATTTTAATATTAATTATTTGGTTTTATATGATATAACTCAGTTAAATCACTAAATTTGAAGAAATAATGCATTTGGGATATTTGACCCCAACAATAACGATAGTTATTTTAAAATTATAAAAATTAGTGGCCTCAAATATAGCCAACCATTGATAGACGCCGTATTAAATGGGATTAATAAAAGGTATTAAACCTATCACTCTTCAATTAATTACATTTATTTTATTTTTTTCAAAGATTAGAACATATATATGAAGATCAATATGTTCTTTCTGCAATTATACATCCAGCATTCAAACTTCAATTGTCATGGATAAAACTTCCACAGAACGAACCTATTAAAAATAAACTTTAGCGTTATTGAAAAAAATGCTGAAAACCTTAGAGAACTGTTAATTTCGAGATATCTTTTTTTTGACGAGAGTAGAGAATGGATTGGAGGAGAACTTATCTCAATTTTTTGCAAATAACAAAAAAATATGTTTTTAATTAATTCTCTACGTCAAAAAAGCTGTTTATTAAGTATAATACCGCAATCCCCTGATCTGCCCCTGTAGATCGCGTTTTTAGTTTAGCTAATGCCGTATTAACTGCCAAGTGTTCCTGTCTATCAGATAAATATTTTGAAAACAATTGTTATTAAAATTTAATAAGAAAAATTTTTTATATATAAAAATATCTTTTTATTCGCTATATATTATATTATATTATCAAAATAAAACTATATTATTTTTTAACATGGCTAAAATATATTATATTAAAAAATATAAGTTTATTTATAATTAAATTTTAAAAAAATTTATCATAAAATTTTGAAATATATAATTTATATATAATTTAAAGATTAATAAAAGGATATTACAAATGTATTCATGAATCATATAATATAAAATTGAAAATGGATATGATTAAGTAATCCCAAATAAATGGTAGCCCGTTCAATTCAAATCGTTGAAATGATACTAAATATACCGCTTGGAAAAGGTAATAATTAGCGATGTTTAAAAAAAAAATAGAAAACGAAAAAAAAATATATTAAAAGATAAATACTTATAAAACTGGCAGCTCTATCTTGCCCACCCACCAGTCCGTTAATTTTTTTGCTCTGCACGGCCTAAATAAAAAAAATTTAGACGTTACCCGATCCATGGATATTTACATTTTTATATCATTTTTGCTTTCGATTAATACTAAAAAACATATTCATTTCATTAAATTCTATTTAATTGCTAAATTAGCCAATCCCCTATATCTTATATATCGATATGATCAGCTATCCAAAATACCATTACCAATAAAGTTTGATCATTCAAAAAGTATATATAATGTTTTTGCGGCTATAAAACGAATTTGTATATTATAATCAAATAATATTAAGAAATATATAAAATCATAGTATTATAATAAGATATAATATACAGGCATGTAGCAGCCCCCCCCCCCCCCATCCGTATTAATTTTTTTAAAAAAATAAAAATATTTACTGAATTTGTGAAATGCAAATTATTCTATTTCAAATAATAGTTTATACAATATTTTAAATTTTAGCAAAAAGTTCAATTAATTTTTATATTTTTTTTCTATCAAAATTTGAAGCATATTTTTAAACCTTAAACACTGATGGAGATAAAAAAAATTTATCAACCAAAAATCTAAAAGTAATATAATTTAATATAAAAAATATATAACCCAAACCCAATGCCAGAAATCATGATAGCTGATTATTCATCTTCACAATCTGATGCACAATGATTGCAAATAAAAATATTAAACAAAATAGATAGATAAAGAAGAAATAAGATCTTCAGGAAATTATCAATCATTTTCTAGACAGAATTTGTTAATAAGAATTACTTTTAAGACTTCTTGTGCCACGAAGAAAAAAACTACAAAAAAAACATGCTCCATACGATAGAGTCTTCGACATCAAGTTGTTAAGGCATTTTTTGTCTAAAAGAGCCTATTTCGATTCCTTCTGAAGAAATATTAGAATGGGCTAGACAGATATTTCATCTTAAGCTGGTACATTGTTAGATTCGATGGCACATCCGATTTTTTTTTTCACATTGGAATATGTATTTATAAATTATATAATTGCCTAACAATTTATGGAATATTTTTCAAAAAAATGATATGGATTCGGCAGTGATTACACGAATTTTAATATGTTATAACTTCTAAAACTAAGAGATAATATCCACCATGAGATTTTGTGATTAATAAGGAGAAAGCGAGATTATATGATTTTGAGCTTGCACCTAGGCAAATAATAATTCCAATTTAATGTGGACCAATTGAGGATTACTGTAAATAACCCATATATTTATCTACTTTGGATACATTTTTTATTCAATCAATGAACGATTTGGGTTCACCAAATGCCAATTTACAAATACTATCACTTAGAAATCAGTCTTAGGATATATTAAATCTTGATATTGATATTAAATATTTCGCTTAATATTTATAGGAGATAAATGTACCTGAAGATCATATCTGATTGACCAATTTTAAATCTTAGTACGAAAGATTAATTAATTAATAATCCTCCACCATGAAAGCATTGTATACTTTA